CTGGCATCAGAGCCTGAGATGCAGATTCTTGTGAAGTTGATTTATTGAGGGATTGCTATTCAGAAATAACCCATAAGACCTGGGGTGAAACAGGGAAAGGCTACCCTTGGCTTGATCACAGAGCAAGAGCTTTGGAGCGTAAACTGTACCACAGAGTAATCATCACTTAAGGAAGAGGCCTAGCATTTTGTACTCTGTATTAGTCATTATTTGTGGACTTCCCCCAAGAGGCTGCAACTTCCAAGACACAATATTACCCAGGGGCCTTTCTCTGGAGACGGGATAGTTGTGAGCTTTAAGAGCCAACATGCATGGCAGCTGGGGGATGGGTGCCTTGGCCCAGCAGAGGGGCTGTGTGTAGAGCACCACCATGTCTACTACAGTCTATTCCCTGTACTGTTCAGATGCACCTGCTTCTCACATCAGGCTTATTCCAGCTACCTACTGATAGACATAGAGGGGCCAGTGGTTTAGGAAGTATAATGCAGACTGAAGGACAGCATCCCATTCTCAAAGGATGTCATCTCCAAGTTGGTACCTCAGCTGCATCTTTAAGAGGCCATTCTACCATTTCTCAGGCCTGCAGCTTCTGACTGTTGCAACATGTGGTAGGACCAGAGTAAACTTGCCACCAAGTTTCTCATTGGTCTCCTTGTGGGATTTCTGTGTCAGGGGTCAGCTTTGGTCTGTGTTGATGATGGGTTTGACATGTATCAGTGGCAGTAGCTAGATCAGCTTTGGTGAGAGGGAGCCCCACCTGTTGTGCTCATATATAACTTGATCTCTGTCTCCATGGTGCTCTGTTTGCCAGCCCACATTGTGGGAGCACTGGGTGGAGGGTGAGAGGTGAGGACCGAGGTTGGCTGACACCCACTGGCCAGACCATTCTGCGTCCTGGTGGTTCAGAGCCTCTTTTGAGGTGGACATGCTCGGGTGCATGTTAAAATGTGCCACATGGATCCTCACACTTGCTGCCGAGTCTCATAGATCCATCTACACACCTCCTTCCCAGTCCTCCCTGTCTCTGATAGTCCCATTTTGCTCTTTCCAGTTCTCTAACTGGCTAGCTAAACCATTTGCCACTGCCCACAAGTATGTGTATCTCCTTTTCTCAGGTCACTTCTCTCTCTATGCAAAAGAGATGACCAGGTGCATTGCTCAAATCTCTGCCCAGTGGAAGGATTCCCTCTCACCAGAGGCTTTCAGCCCCTTGACTGGGCCTCTAACACAGACCCAGTCCACTTGCAGCTCACCCCCACATACCTAAGTGCCTCATCTGTGAACCAAGTTCAGGAATTTTCCTTCTCTGCCAGATGGCTATAATAAACTCTCTATGTGGCAATAGATATTGCCAAGGGAGAGATGTTGGTGCAGCCATCCCCCTCCCAAGTCTTGGGGTCTCACTCCTTCCCTACTGGGGGCCTGATTTGGGCAGCAGGCCTGGCTCCACTGAGCATGCAGCCCTCTCTGAAGTTCTTCCCCTCCCGTGGTTAAGTCCTTGCCTCATGGCACTGTCTGCCATCCAGCTGCAGAGGATAAGGGTGTCTCAATGCTTCCTGCCAAGAGATTCCTCAGCCTCTTACACTTTGTTTTCAATCACCTATTAAGAGTTCTGAGACTGTAATTTTCTTTCTTCAGTGAATCAGCAACACTCAGCAAAAGCCACTCAATTCCACAGTCTTAACACTTATTCTTTCCTCCCACATCTCAAATCCAGAGATATTGCACCAGCAGGCGCACCCTCACCTGTGCGCCATCCCAGCTCACAGCAAGCGGAAGTCGCAGCTGATCTCAGCTACCCCGTGCCCTTCACGATCAGCAGTGATGATGTGTCACTCCCACCTGGTCACTGATCTGCCTCCAACGTTCTGTCCTCAGAGGTGGTCTCCCAGACCCATTCCTGCCACATGCTGTCTTAGGCCTGGTTCCGTAGGGGCAGAGCCTGAGACAGGCTTTCAGATTCCCAGAACCCATTGAGGAAGTGCTCTCAGAAGCCTATAGGAGAGGGAGGGAGGCAGAAAAGGGAAAGGGAAAGAGGGCAGCAAGCCTGTATCTTCCGGCAAAGTCTAGTCCTGACAGGATCTACAGGGAAGGCTGGAACCCTGACCACACCACAGCCAAGAGGCTGTCCTTTGATTGCTTTTAGCACTCAGTCTTTGCCTGGGGGCCTCCTGGCCATCAGAGTGGGAGTGAGGGGGTGGGTCACCCCCCAGGTGAGGAGGTCCCTGTCTGCTGAGGAAAATTCTCTGGAGAGGAGAAGTTGTGAGCTGTGGCCAGCCAACACCCTTAGCAAAGGAGAGATGGGCACCGGCAGGTAAAGGAGACCTTGCTGGAGCTCCAGAGTACCGAGTTATTACAGAAACCTGTGAAGATAACAAAGAAGGCACATCAGAGGGGCTCACAGAGAACCAGAGACCCAATAGAGGGGGCTGTCACAGAATCCAAGAGAAGTGCGTTTCAAGGAAGAAATGGCACCTGTCAAATGCAGCTTTGAGGTCCAGTCTTCAAAAGCAGCATGGACTTTAGCAACCAAGAGGTCACAGGTGAGCTTGCCAGAGAAGTTTCAGAGACCTTTACAGACTAGGCAGACAGGCATCGAGGATGACGGGTGATCAAGGAAAGAGTGAGTATGGGCAGTTTCCTCCACTAAGAAGCCTGCATGAAAAGAAATAGAGAGACTGCAGTGAAGGGTGGTGACAAAGGCTGTCAGAGCTCATGATGCCGGGGCCCAAAGTCCAGACCTGGGAGGGCAGTTTCAGGAAGGGTTTGGCGGATGATATCCCTCCCAGCAGAGGAGGCCATGGTGTCAGGGGCTGGTTCTGACTGGGGAAGGGATACCACATCCTCTGGGGAGCCTGGGTGGAAGATAGGTAAAGCTGGCGGGGGGAAGCAGGTTTGCAGGGAGTTAATAGGGGTCTGGGTGGTGATTGCATGGCCTTCTTAGAGCGAGGTAGGCATGGCGGAGCAGGAGGCTGGAGCAGAGGATGAGGGAAATGGGTGGATGGATGGGGAGACCATGTCTTGAAATCTCAGTCAGGCTGGAGACCCTGATCTGTCCTGGCATCAACCTGTGGAGCCAAATGACTTTCCCCAACAGCACCCTATGGTCTTATATGGAGGGACAGTCATCGGGTGCAGATGGGGGATTTGTGTGTGGGACTGGGGAGGATGACTCATGGGCTGGAGGGTGTGATATGTGGCCCCAGGGGTGGGGAGGGAGGGCAGCAAGAGGTCCGGGGGACTAAGCTCCAAGCTGCCCCTTGCCAAGCCCTCAGCTGGGCTTTTGCTGTGGACTCTCCTCATTCTAGGCCCACGGTAGGAAGCAACCCATTTCAGGAGCTGTCAGAGCGCTGGGTCCCTGTGCAGCCTTGTGAGGGAGTCCCAGGCCTGTGTCAGCCACATCCCTGGGTTCAGGTTCTGCAGCTGGAATACCAGCAGGGTTTGTTTTTCATTGCGATGTTGTAGGGCCCTGTCTCTCCCTCCTCACCCCCTGCCAGCTTCCTCCATTTAAGGCAATGGCATTCAAACTTTTTGTTTTTAACCACAACCCACAAGTAAGAATTAATTTCACACCATGATTCAGCAGACACACACACACACACACACAACTGCAACGAGAGTTTCATGATACAGTCCTCACGCTTGCTTTGCTTTGTAGGCTTTTACTGTTTGCTACTTTATTCTCATTCATTTCATTAAAAAGTGCTGGTTGCCACCACCCAAGCTGATTTCTCAGGTCACTTAACTGGGAAGCACTGCTCCGAGGCGGCAGGGAGCTGCCCCTTGTGGAAGCTGTCACTGATGCTCCCCGTCCCTCTTTCTGGAGGAACATTCTCAGAGAAAACACCTCCTGCCCTGGGAGTGTTGGCAGAAGATGCCTGCAGTTTAGTAGGGAGCAGGATTCTTTTTTTAACATAAATTTCCTTCTCCAGTCACCTTCTATCTCCCAAGAAGAGAAACAGGCCATCTTGGAGGAGCCCAATGTGGGGACTTCCAGGCAGCTGATTCCCCACTGACTGTTCCGTGGCTGCTGTGACCACGCACCCCACATCCTGCTTGGCTCCTGCACACACGCCCCGTCACCTAAGACCTTCACACTCTCCTGGCACACCTTCCCACACATACCCCCGAGACACTCCAGGGAATGTATTTTAGGGTGCCGGCCCCCACTTCCTTCTCTGGACTTGCCCTCACCCCACCCCCAAAGGGGAAGGCTGCACATGGCAGTCACAGTCTGTTTTTTCCTACAGAGGCCGGAGCTAAGTGGAGGAGGGGCGGCGACTGGCTGCTGGGCTCTGAGAGTCAGATTCACTTCCCCAAACTTCCATGGGAGACACAGGAAGGATGGTGTCCCTATCAAGGGCTGAGGCCACTTGACAAGTTAGGACTACGGCCTGGGGAGGGGCCGTACAACAGAACCCCATGGGAAGTGCAGCCACAGGGAAGAGAAAACCCACATTCCCCTTGGTGGGAGGCAGGGGTGTTGGGAAGTGGGATGCCAGAGGGCGCCACTGAGAGACAACAGGGAGAGCTGCCTAGTCAGCAGCCCAGGATCTGTGCAACCTCATTATGCTTCTATTTATTTCTTCACTCTGAATGTTTGGGCAGCACTCTCTGGGCTGAACATGGATAGGTTCCTGTTCCTTAAACTCACAAAACCCGTGGGGTGCTTGTTCTCAGGCATCAATCAGCACCACATGCCCTCCCTACGTCCTCTGTGCCCCACACAGGGCCTGGTCCTATTCAGGCCCCCTTCCAACTCCTGCCGGTCCCACTGCCAGGATCTGGGGCTGATGGCGAAGAGGAGCTGGCCCCAGGTCCCGACACCTCTCCCAGGGACACCCATGCAGGCGCTCCTCCAGCTCAGTGCCCAAAGCCCCTGACTACTTCCTTGTTTTCTGTTTCTGCAGGGTAATGGGGCAGGGGTGGTGGTTTAAAAGCAAAAACAAAAACACCCAAACCACCCCTTAATGTTCACAAAATAGCTAATTCGCCAAACCTTCATTTTTGTCAATTTATTTAGAAAAAAATTAACATGGGCAAATGAGATACCTCAGTGTTACAACAGAGTATAGAAATGTCTAGCAATAGTCAAATAATTTGATCTTTAAATACAAAATAACCACATGAACACCTAATATACAGGTTTCATCTGAATACATATTTATTAGATAAATATTAGAGGTTGTCACATCATCTAACTACATACAGCTTTGCAAGACTAGAAATCACAATTAGTTTTCTGACCAGTTTAAAGTATGAAATGATTGCATTGTACGTAGATGTACAAAGACGATGGCGGTGTCTGTGGGAGTTACTTCAGGCTGCACTGTGGATGTGTTTATGTGTGTACGTGTGAATCACCTGCGATCATGATATCAAAAATTATACAAAGTATGAATTTGGTTACAATTTTCTTCCGAAATCCATTTCTTTTCATTATTTCCATAGCACCCTAAAAATACACAGGTGGCAGGACTAGTACACTGAAGCTAAATAGTACATGTAGGTAAAATAAAAACAAAACGGAACAAAAATTGCTTTCCACACAGTGTCAGAATATATTACATGAGGGACAAATGTGGAGAGAGACCTCACAAACGCTAACAAACAAGATCTAGCTTTTCCACTTTAGGATGGAGTCCCAAGCCGTTTTTTTTTTGTTTTGTTCTGTTCCGTAAAATAAAAACAATACACATTCCAAGGGAAATGAATGCATCTGTTAACATGTCTCTATTTCTCATTTACATATGTACACACGTCCCTTGAATCGCTGCTGCTTACGTTACCCTATCTAGATGGGTCAGGCGGAGGGAGCAGACGTGTAGCTCTCTGAGGGGTTGGGGCTTCTGTTAGGGAGAAAGTTATTAGAAGTTTCTTAAAAAATAAAATGGCTACAGGGAACATGGTACATGGGTAAAGCTTCAAACCAAGACGGGTGATTGCCTGTACCTGGGCCTTTCCGCTTGCCCACCGGCGCCCTGTTCATCTTGCGGAGGCAGCAGAAACATGCCTATGGCCTGGGTGGATGCTTGCCATGGAGAAGTGGCTTGCTGAGGCCTCGTTTTTGCTGAGGTTACTTATGGCTCCAAATAGTTGTCCAAAAGGATCAGGAAAGCGTCTGCCCGGAGTTCAGAACCGCCCACTTGGGGAGGCTGTCGTCGCCTGAATCTGTTGCCAGCTGGGGCTTGCTTCAGTCCCGGATGCCTTTATGCCTCCCTTACCCCTTGGCCTGGCTCCAAAACCACTCTGCTGGAGTACAGTTCCAGAGTGCCGGCTTCAGGCACCAAGATTCAGGAAAGCTATTCGCAGAGCTTGCTGGTGGAGGCTTGCCTGGGAGGGGCCCCAAGAAACCTGCCTCAGGTGCTGAGCCCACGGCTTTCTCAGAGGTGACTGAGGGAGGTGCCTGGAGCCCGGGCTGTGGACAGCAAATCGACCCCCTGCACCAGAAAGCTGTGGATAGGTCAGTGAGCAGACACCCCGGTAAGAACCAGACCAAGACCCCCGGCCTTTCTGGGACAAGGTAGCTTGGCAGGAAGCAGGAACTTCTAAGGCAGGCATCTGTCAGTCTGTCTGGGGCAGAACATTCCCAGACGGTCTGACACAGAGTGCGCCCACCTGCTGGGCCTGTCATGCCCTGGCCAAGGACAGCCACATGCTAACCCGGTGTCTGTCCCCACTAGCCAACTGGGGATGGCTCTAAGCAGTGGGCGGCCTGGTCCTCTAACTCATGGTACAGCCGCCCATGCTCTTTGTCCCTTCATCTGTACAAATAGCCCTGGTTGCTTTTTTGTTTTTGTTTGTTGTTTTTTTTTTTTAAAAAACGACTCGGTCTTTGTCATTGAGTCAAGGTATTTTAAAAACACCAGCAAAGGCTATAACCAGGTCATGAAAATGTTGAATATTATCAAAGACAATACTAAAATATTCACAAAGATATTTACAAAAGCAATTCTTAAAATAATTGATTTGCATACTGAACACCACGCTGTTTGAAAAAACCTTGACAACAGGACAAAGGAAAGGTGGCGGAGGTGGGGGGACAATGGCAGCTTTCCTCCAGAAAACCTTACGCCAGTCATCTGGTCCAGCAGCTGGAAATCAGCTGGAGCCACCGTTTCTGTCAAATCCAGGAGTGCTGGGGACCACCAGCCACAGAGGGAGGCGGGCACAGGGAATGCAGGCAGGGCACAGGGCACGGGAGAGGGCCCCAGGCAGCAGCAGGGAGGGGCGCAACGAATTCACAGGCCACCAAAGTGACTGGACAGCATCAGGCCACGTGGCTGAGGGGAGCACAGAGGAGCCTGAAACGAAACGGACGCACACGCTACCCGGGAGACTTGGGAGCGGAGGATGGAGTGAGGCAGTGGAAAGCCAGAGGCTGCTTCCGCTTGAGCGAGCAGGAGTATGGGTGAGGGACACAGGGAAGGAGGGGCTGGCAGCCAGCTGTGGCGTCTGCAGAACCACTATGCGGTGCTCTTGGGCATATCCCGGCACACGCGCTAACAGCCTGGGCTGGAGGCGGGGCGGCCTCGAACACAAGGACAGGCAGAGAGGCCGGATAAACACCAATGCCTGGCATTCCTGCTCCTAAGTCTACACGGACAAAAGAGAGCTAGGACAGAGGGAAGCGGGTGTCCCACATTAACAGCCTGGGAGAGGTGGGTGGGGAGCAGGAGGAAGGAAGAGAACAAACACATGGAGAGAAGTGGTTTGCTTGCTGTCCAAGTCCAATGTTCCTTTTCTCCAGATGACTTTGTAGCTTTAAACTGTCACTTAAAAAAGGGAGTGGCTTGGAGCAAAACGATCAGTTGCTGTTCCTATTTGACTCCAATTCTGCTGGCGGCACTGCCCCGCCTCGACTAAGGGCACAATAATTTTGGCTGGGTACTCTCTCTGCCCCCTCCCCCGCCCCAAGGCGGGGCCCTGACCTGATTCCACGGTGGCAGAGCCATCTGCTGGGTTGTCCTGGCTCTGAGGAGGCCCCTTTCCCACCAGTCCCTAAGCAGGAATGGCACACCCTCTCTCAAACAGATTCTTGTCCTTTATCTCTGCTTTCTGAGAGAGTGTTTACAGGGTATCTTGGCTTAGAGGTCAGGGGGCCAGAGCGATGACCTTGGCCCCGAGAGAGTTCTCTTTCCCAGAGGTTTGTGCTTTTCTGTGGTGGGTGGTGGTGGTGGGTGGGCTGTTCTCACTCCTGCCAACTGTCACTGCTCCTCCAAGGCTTGGAGCCCACCTGGGTCTCAGGGGGCTTCTCTCAGGCTCAGTCACTTGAAAGAGGCTCTGGGCTGGGAAGCAGGGAGGCAGGGAGGCAGGGTTACAGTTTAGAAACTGGAAGAACCTTGGGGGCCTGGGAGGTCATTTGGAACCAGCACACAGAGGGACCAGGAAGCCATCGTCGGGTGTGTGCCTCTCAGTGGGCCGGCTCCCCGTGGGGAGGGGCATCTTCAGGGCATGCTCTGGGCATGGGTTGCAGCCCCACACAGCCTTCACAGTGCGCCTTCCCGCCCCCTCCGCAGCAGGGGCAGTCTCAGTACAGGGCTCCCTGGGGGACAGTGTGTGTGGGACAGACAGGGAAGGAGGCAGAGCGGGAGGGGCGGCCCCGATGGAGGGGGGTGGGCTTCAGTTGTTCTCAAAGAGAGACAGGAGGTCATCATTACTATTGCTCGGCAGGTCAGGGGGGTCCAGGTATGAGAGGAGCTCGTCAGGATTTGTGAGTTCTGGAAGGAGCTGGAAAAGAAGTGCAGAAGCCCAGGTGAAGTGCCAGTCGAGGGGCCAGGTGGCCCAGGGTAAGGGATGCAGGGACCCCAGGCCTGTGCACGTGCCCTCTGCCTGCCTCCGGGGACCCTGGCCCAAGTGGGACACTCTTGAGTAGGGGCTGTGCTCAAATGCTTCCAGGCCAGCGTGCTAGTCTGGGGCACATCCATGCTGGGAGAGAGGTGCCCTCAGCCCACGGGCTGGGAAGGCCCACGCTGGGCTTCTTCGTGATTGGAATATTCCTCTGGCCCTGAGACCCTGCCACGAGGAGCTGCCAGTCACGTGGGCCTTCTAGCAGAAAAACTGTGGCTCTGCATGTAGTCTGTGGTCCCTGCAGCTCCTACCACCTGGGGCCTCTCCTAAGAGCTCGCTGCTCCTTGGTGAGCCTGTGGCTGCTGGCAGCACCATTCTTCCTCATGGCCCCTGGGCCAAGGCAGCACACTGTCCCTACCCACTGTGAGGTTCCTGGGGTCTGCCACATGCACACCCCTCATGAACCTAAAAGTACCTCCACTGGCTTGGTCTGAGGAGGGGATCTGGGTGAGAATCTAAGATGGCCACACACTGAATAAACCCTATTCACCATAAAGACTCTGACACTGCTGGGGCTCAGGGTGACTGTGGGGCTGGGACGCAAAGGACGGGAGCAGACCTCCAAGCTGGCAATCTAGAGCCTAGGGGTGTGGGATGATGAGGGCGAGTTGTGGTCCCTTCCCAGCCAGCTGCCAGCCCCCACTGTTCTGAGCACCCTGCCCCACCCCACTCTCCAGGCCACTCAGGTCTCAAGACGGGTGACCCCTGAACCTCAGATGCCCACTGCTGCCTCAGTAAGCTGCGGCGTGACCGAGGCTGGTCCTGCTATCACCCACAGGGGTCTCTCTCAGAGTGAGCGATGGAGCAAGCAGAAGCACAGGGCATGAAAAACACACGGACAAAAAACTGGAGACAGACGTACACCAGCGAGACAGAAGGACCCTGTCCCTCCAGCCCCTCCCCTGCCTCAGGCCAGAGAGTGTGGCAGACACGGAGATGGCAAGCTCAATGTGGGGGGAAGAGGAGGGGGTGGGAGGAAGGGAAGGGATCTTCCTGAGCTGCCTCCAGAAGCCCCCCACAGGGACTCTGTGGGGACCTGGTGGGGAGGCGGGGCTGGGCTGCAGGCTGAGGCCAAGGGGCCGAGGGGTGGGCACTGGCAGGTGGCATGGGGATGCTCCCCTCAGTGAGGCTTCCTGACTGTGGGGTTCCCTGGTGCTACAGCCAGCAGAGGCAGGCTGGCTAGGCCCCCATCCACCACCCATCCACCCGCTCAGAGCTGTACCGCCTCCACCCTGGGCCTTGAGCCCTCAACACCCACCCCTGCTCTTGGGCAGGTCCTGGTGCCAGGCCTAGCCCCCAGCCAAAGCAAGTGGCGACCCCAACTTACATCCAGCGAAGGCTCCGGCATGTCAGATGCTCCCTGTGCTCCGGCCTGACCCTCTAAGGCTGAGGAGGGGTTAAAGGTCAGGTCGCTGTGTGGATGGTTGCTGGGAGCAGCCTGTGGCGGTTGCCGGGGAGGCTGGGAAGGAGCAGCAGGAGCCCCACTGTGATGTAATGGAGGCCCTGACTGGCTGCTGGGGTGTGGGACGTGCAAACCTTGTGGTATGGAGGGATGGGGCTGGTCAGAACTGCCAGCATGTGGCATCTGTGGAGGAGGAGAGAGCAGGAGAAAAGAAAGGTGAGGTGACGAGGTATAGCGACGAGATGCCTGGAGAAATGAAAACCAAACCAAACCAAACCAAACCAGGAAAATAACAAACTCCCAAAACAAAACAAAGCCACCCTTTTACAAAGCCAGATGGTTTTGTTTCTCTTTTTTTTTTTTTTTTGCAGAGAAACAAACAAAAAAGTCCTCCCCAAAAACTGCCAGTCAGGGAGGTGTGGAGAGGAAGGCGGGGTAAGGGGCCTCTGAGGCTGCGTGGGGCCGGCGGGGCCGCGGCTAGGGGCTCTGAGATGAGCAGACACTGAGCGCCCGGCTGCCTCTCCAGCTCAGACCCATCCCCACAATGAATGACAGCGAGGGCAGAATGGAGAAGCAAACGGGCATGTTTCCAGGGAGCGGGCAGGCGGGAGGGGTGCTGTTAGCAGCGTGGCGTGGGCCCCCGAGGGCCAGGGAGTAGACAGCAGACACGGACAGACAGCATGGGGCAGGCGTGCAGCTCAGATGTGGGTCTGCGCCCCCACACGGGCCTTGCGTGGGAGGTGTTGATGGGCAAGCAGGTTCCTTCTGAGAGCCCAATGTGGCAATAGCCAGTGCCTCAGCACAAGCCCTGCCTGCTGCCAGGGGTAGGGTGGAACTGAACCAAAGTCAACGGAGCAGAGCACAGGCTTCTCAGCACTGCCAGACCCTTCCTCCTGGCCACCCACCTAGGTGGCTACAGGCTGCACCTGCAGGATGCCTCCCAAGGCATGTGAGCTCACCAAGGGGCTGTCTTGCTGAGGTTGGGACAGATGGTACTTCTCTAGCAGATAAACTAGAGGACTCCCACCCCACACGCCATGTGCGATGCACCTGAACACCAACCGCCTGGACTGGGGTCGGGCAGGTGGGGGTGGCGGGGGGCGCATGGCAGTGAGATCTAATCTCCCCTGCCAGCTGTGTGCTGTCCTGAGATTTGGGTGGAAGGCTGAGTCCAAGCCTTCATCCACTACCAGCAACTCTGGCAGGGCCCCAGCCCCACCTGCACTGTGCTAGTGAAGGGGAGCTCCCTGCCTGGCCAGGCCACTTGCTCAGAATGGGCAGCCTGGTGACCGAATGTCTTCTTGGTCTTTAGCACCTTCCTCCCCACCCTGTCTTCTGGACTGCGTGGAAACATTACTTTCTCCCCTCCTGGGTTTGGAAATGGCAGCCACACCTTCCCTGATCTTCTCCAGACCCTCGTTCCTCTTCCTGTTTTCCCTACAAGCTGCTGTGGGCTGGCTTCTGTCTGGTCCAGGTGGCCCCAGACAGCACAGTGCCCCTTTAGCCAAGAATGGGTGAGACCATACAACCAGGGGGTTGGTGACCCTGGGAGACCACATGTGGGATGCACACAAAATACAGAGACCAGGAGAGGCTGGAGGGACAGTCACTATTGCTGTGTGAGACCAGCTTGTGATGCCCACCTGTGCCCGTGGACGCCCCACAGTGCACATCCTGGGGGGTAGGAGGTGGGTCCACACTCCTGGAATAGCCCATCCCAGGACACAGTCCCTGGATCTGATGACACAGCTGTACCCCTTGGCCCTGACATCCTGCCAGAATGCCCCAGGGCCTGGAGGGGCAGGTGCTCACTGGGACCTGCTGAAACACCTGCCAACCTGCCACCTGTCATGGGAGAGTCCTCGTGTGAACCAGCACTTGGTTGCAGCCCTCCTGCTAGTCCCCGTGTGCATGGGAATCCTTCCCAGCCGCATGCTTAGCCAGGCCTATGCCTGTATCACCCCACCTCACACAGCCGTATGCCTGGGTCCAGGTGCCATCTAAAGAGCCCAGAAACGTGGAAGGACAGCGCTTATCTAGGGAGCATCCTGGGAGGCTGTGAAGTCGACTCACAGGCTTAGGTCCCTCTACAAAGGCCCCAGGCAGTAGGACTAAGGCAGGAGAGAGCCAAGGGTTGGACACAAAGGGCACCCGGCTACCCAGGGCTGGGAATCTTGACAGCTCAGGATGTGAGTGTAGGGAGCGATCTGGGTGACTCCTGGGAGTGCAATGCTGAGGTCTTAGGGAACAGGGCTGGGAAAGGGGGGCCAGGAGAGGTCCCCAGAAATTGGCAGCCCCATGGGGCAGAAAATAACTTGCAAAAATGTGCTGAAGCCTATGTTGATGGACAGTGACTGTGAACGGGGATGTGGGGGGGACTTGGTGAAGGGGGGAGCCTAGTAAACATAATGTCCTTCATGTAATTGTAGATTAATGATACCAAAATAAAATTAAAAAAAAAAATGTGCTGAAGCCTGATGAAAGTAGCTTTTCTCGATTGGCATTTTGGGGTTCCACGGGGAAGTTGCTGTGGTGTCCCTCACCCAGAATCCTGGTCGATAGTCACTCATGCTGAGAAGTGGGCAGCTCTGGCCCATAGGACAGCCTCTGGCCCAGTGGTGGACCAACTCCATGTGTATACAGAACAACCCAGAGGCCCCTTGCTTCCAGGCCCTGTGATGGAGGATGGGAGGGCCTGGAGTGGCGCCCTCTGGTGGGGGCCCACCCAACTCCACTGACAAACACTGGCGAGATCCCTGGAGCCTTTTCTTGGGCTGGTGTGGCCCAGGACCCACAGCCAGGCCCTCAGTGACTGCTCCTCCTTCTCCTAAGGTGAGAGACCAGGGACAGACAGAATGACTGAGGCCTCAGACTTCAGCCCTCAGGCCTCGGTTTCCCTGAAACACCAACTGTTCTCCCTCCATCCAGGCACCATCAGAACTTCCGCCCCATTGGTGCACGGCTGGTGTCTGTCCTGCTGACACCTGATACCGGGCCCAGCCCAGAGCACAGGCTCAGGGAATGGTGACGGGGCCCATCTGGTGCTCACCAGATGGGGACTCTGGAGGCAGCTGGGCCTCCTACAACTGTCGTCGGGGCGACAGGAAGGGGAGGTCCCTGGATGGCACGGGACACTTTACCAGCGAGGGGCTTTCTCAGCAGCATAGAATGTGTGATACTGTGTAAAACAGGATAAGAAATGAATACCCTCAGGATAATAAGACATTCCAACATTTCTTTTTACAGAAGGTGGTGATACCCTAAAAATTCACACCCCTGGGGAGTAATTGCCTAAGTTTGGGACAAAAAATCTAGATGGCTGGGGCCTTCAGTATGTCAGTATAAGTGTGTGTGTAAATGGAGGGCTGTGGGGGGTGGGGGCTGGGGGCATATGTGGGGCGTGTGCCTGTGTATATGTGGGATGGAGCCTGAAGCTTCCCCCATCTCCTGAGAATCCCATGCCCTGGGGTGAGATGCCAAGTCCAAGGATGCCAACAGGCCATGACCAGCCTCAGTCAGGCCTCACCCTCCCTTCCCAGCCCCCAGACCCACTTCTCAGTCCTCCCCCTTTGCCTGGGAGGGAACTAGGCAAACAGCAGAAAGGTCCCAGGGGAGCCCTCTTCCCCCACACCCCCCTGGGGGTGAGGGAGGTACTCACAGTCTCCTGCATGGGGTGACTGAGGGGTTTCTCGAGGGTGGCCATGTTGTTGGGCATGTCCGGTGGGTGGGAGAGCTGGGGGGGCCCGTGCATGAAGTCATTCATGGATGTCCCGCCAGGATTCCCATGGGGGAAGTCAAAGTTGCCATGGCCCTGGTAGTTATTGCCTGGGGAGGGAACAAGAGGGCAAGGGGCTGTCACCCAGAGGGAAGGGAGGCTGCAGCCTTAGACGTCCCGGCTGTAGGATGGGGCAGCGGGGCAGCCTTCTCCAGTGGGCTCCAGTGCCCCCCAACGGGTGTGGTTCTAGGTAGGCAGAGGGGCAGCATGGGAGGAAGGGGTGGCCAGGCTCCTGCAGGTGGGGGGAGGACATGGCATGAGGCCCAGGTGTGAGCCTCCCACAGCCCCCCTGCCTCCACATCACTGGGCAAACCCAGGCCCTGGAAGGAGGGCAGGATCTGCCAAGTCTACAAAGAAAGTTTCCACAGACTCACGATGGCACCATTAGAAGCCAGCTGTCTGACCTCCCTGGCCACTCCCCCCTCTAGCACGTGGCTGTGCTGCGAGGTCCAGGGATCAGCACGCTGGGAACTCTGGCTGGGTGGCTAACCTCCCTGGGCCTCTAGGCACCCAGGAGCCCCAGGGACTAAGAGCAGGGATCCTGTGGGGACTGCCATCCTGTGCCGGAGGTGGGATGGAGACTTGCTAGGAACCTAGCACAGTATGGGTACAGCTTGGTCTGGGCAGCAGGGTGAATAAAACCCAGGAGGGCCAGGGAAGGGCCACGAACTCCAGTGGGAGTGCTCTGTTAGCCCCAGGGCCTGGCACGTGCTTGCCCAAAGTCAAGGAGCTGTCCCCAGGGCTCCAGGAGTCCGGAGAGGAAGCTGGGCAGGGCGGGGTGGCAGAGGTGGGAGGCTGGCTCACATGGCAGCTCCTCACTCTGCCTTCCTAGCTGGGTGCCAATCCACATAGCTGGATGGAGCCAGGGGGTTGGACAGAGAGGGGAGAATGGCATTGCGTGGGCCCCTGTACCCCTGAGTCCGGTGATGCGGGGTTGTCTTTGGGGGTGTATGTCACCTCTACCTCTTTACCTTATGCTCTCCTGGCACTTGCCACCATCAGCCCAGAAATCCTGTGCCCCTGATGGGACTTCTCCCTCTCTCTCTACTTGTCCAGCATCGCCTACCTTGGCTGCTGTAGTCACTGGAGTTGGTGCCCCCAGGCGGAGGTGGGAGTGGGTAGGGGGATGGCCCAGGGCCCAGGGCCGCAATCATCTCCATGACGTTGGGCATGATCATCTGGCTGGGACTCATGGTCTTGAACCGCTTGGAGGGGATGCCATCAGGGTCATCTTTAATATGTAGGTCCGACTTGATGGGCACCGGCCGCCAGCTGCATGTTGGGTCAATGGTGACCTCTTCAAACTCGGAGCTAGGGGAGTAAGGGCGTGGTGTGGAGGCCTCCGCGTGCTGCGCTTGCACACAAGCACTTGGAGCTTGGCAGATAATGAGATGTCCTTGTCTAGGCCCCTTGCCCCTATTCTTGCCACATTCTGCATGACAGAGGTGTGGGGAATTTTTATAGCTGTTTGAAAGATGGGGAGACTGAGGCTAGGAAAAGCAAGTGGCTGGGCACGGGGCAGCTGGCCCCAAGACCTCCCACCCAGAGAGTGACTGCTGGGGGCACTGACAGCATCCTGCTGAGTTTGGTCCTTCCCAGAAACTTGATTTGCCCCCAGGTACAGAACAGTCTGTGGTAGAGTCACAGAGAGGTGGGAGATGTGGGGGTGTGGTCTGACAGCCTAGGGAGGAGGGGATCTCAGGGATGTCCACATGCTTACTTCGTCCAAGCCAGGCCAGCACTACCCGACCCCACCCCTGCCCGTACCCCACGCCCCTAGCCAGGGAGGCCCACTTACTGCTGGATGGCATTCAGGATGCCCCACATGTACTGATCCACCTCCAGGCCCTCAAGCAGAGCGGTTTTACTGGAAAAGGAGAGAGAGGGTCTTGGCGTTTGTTTCGGGACCCTGTCATAGGGCACAGCTCTCCTCCCCTGCTCCATCTTTAAGACCCTGCTCCTACTGCTGGTTACTATTGGGGGCGCAGAGGATCCTGAGCTCCTCCCCTCCATGGCCAGGTGAGGAAGCTCCCGCTGGGTAGGGGACATTACTCACTTGCACACGGGACACCTCCAGGTCCCTCTTTCACAATTCAGCTGCAGGTATGACTCCAGATCAAAGCACTGGGGAGGCCAGGAGACAGATAAAATCAAGACTCTCAGAAACCACTTAGATGCAAGTTCTGTTGCCACTGGGACCCATATGAACCCCTCCCACGAGGGAGGGAAACAGGTGGTGGGAGAGACTCAGGGGTGGCTGCTGGGTGGGGTGATGACCAATGTCACCATTCTGCGTCTCACAGAGTGAACTGGCCACACCGATTCCCTACACAACTCTGCTGAGCACTCCCCTCAACTGTCCCTATGCCCAGATGGCCCGCGCCCATGTCCTCTGAGAAGCCTTCCTGCCCGCCACCCCTCCACGACTGCTCATTGATTCTGCCACATGACAGTCCCTCACTGAGGAGGGCAGCATGGACTCCGGCCTCTCCATCAGCCCAGCCCAGGCTAAGAACACACCTGGTCCAGTCCATCAGTGGGTGCCTGAGAAAGTGACCTGATGTCCCTCGTGCTCACAGTATTGTTCCAGAGGGAGGCTCTTACCCATGAGGAAGCCCCAGGGGCCAGCTGTGTGTGAGGGTGGGGCTGAGAGCCCAGCCTGGCCCTGAAGCCTCCTCTCCTTCCCCAGTCCTCCTTGCATGCCCACACCAAGGCAGGGAGGGCTTCTTGTCCCCTCTTCTGGGGTTTCTTCTCTGAGCAGCCCCTCTCCCAGGAAATGCCACCCATCTGGGCTGCCCACAGTCACTTGACAGCCTTTCATTCCTCCTCCACTTCCTGAGCACCTGCTCAGAATAAGACCCTGGAACACAACAGCCACCAGGCAGAGGTGTCCCTGCTCTCAGGCTCCAAACCAGCTGTGGCCTTATGTGCAGGATTTTGGGCTGGCATCTGACATCTGCCAGAGCAGGGACTATCTAAATCCAGTTCTGCGGCCCCTTGGGAACCTAGGCCTTTGCATGCAGAGAAGATTCTCAAAGGATAAATGATGGCTGGAGTGAGGGACATCAGCTGCTTTCATGGCCATGGCATCCTTTGTGGATCTGAGACAGGCCCTGCTGCCCCCTCTGCCTATCCCCACCATCCCAGCCAGCCTCCAGGTGGCTCCCCACCAAGCCGCTCCTGCTGGGACCACCCACCTGGACATGCTTGCAGTCATGGCCTCGAGCAGGCAGCTGGATGCGCCGGAATGTGATAGGGCACTTCAGGGACACCTTGATGGCTGTTTGCTCCACACCATCCTCCCCATTGAGGGTCGTGTTGCCTGACGAGGCAGCCACGCTGCTGAAATTCCTCTTGACTGTGGGGTGGGAGGCACAGGTGCATAAGGAGCATAGGGCCATACTGCACATGCCCCCATACCCTCATGGGGCCAAAACACCTGCTTCTCCACCACCCCCAAAACACTGGGAGGTCCTGGCAAGAACTGCAGTGCACCCAGCCTGGGCAATGGTGAGCTTGACCTGCCAGGTGCTCTGGGCCACCCAGTACTTCGGAAAGGCAGCCCCCAGGTGCGATGTGTGGAGTACCCATGCCCCTGCAGGTGGCCATGTCAGTTCCCTGGCTTATGCAGAACTGGTCCCCCCACCGCCACCCCCTTTCACTGGGAAGGGAGACTTTCTGCAAAACTTTCAGAGACCCAGTCTGGCACTTCTGTGGTTTTCCATGTTCGTAGACGAGCCAGCCACCCCTCAGATACTTTTGTACTTAATACTTCAAGTGTAGAAATGGCAAAGGGCAACTGCCTGGCAGGATTCTAGGGCCCGGGGGTAGCAAAGAAGCACAAATGAAGTGGGGAGCAGTGTGCAACTTCCTGCCTGGCACCCCCAAGAGTCATCTCTGCCAAAGGAGTGGACTCTGAGCCAAGGCCCTCCCTCTAGAGTTTGGGCATGAGATGTTGAGGTGGGTAGTCTGGAATCCACTCCCATGCCTCCCTCCTGGTGAAGATTCCTGCTTCTCCAGTTCCACCCATCCTTCTAGGTGATCACCTTCTCCAGGAAGCCGGGCTTGTCATTTTGTTTTAATTTGCCTCACGCCCTGTATGACAATAAGCCAGCTCTTTTAGGTGGTCCAGAATTACCTCCATGTCTTACTGTACCATGTTCATCTGATCATCCCCACAGCCCCAGATGATGGGCATGAGTTGGGGGTGATGGTTGGTGACCAGGAACACTGAGGGCCCTGGGTGTTGTGCATGGAGCCGAAGGCTGGCCCTGGGTGGATGCCGGGACTGAGTGGGTCTGGGGGCAGGTCTCACTCCCTGCACCCCACTCACTTTTTGTGATGCAGTGCTCTGCAGGCAGGAGGCGCTTCTTGAGGAGGCCTTGCAGCACAGAGCGCACGGAGGGCCGGTGGACCAGCTGCAGCACGAAGAGGTGGGACTGCCGAGAAAGAGGGGATGTTGGGTCCCTGCCCCATGGCCCAGTGATGCCACCCTAGGAGCATGTCCCCAGGACTCGGGAGATAGTCCTTGAGGCCCAGGATGTGTCCTGGAACCTGTGAGCCTGGGACTCAGGACAGGGTCGCCACCGAGGGACAGCTGCTGCTGCTCTAGGCTGACAAGCTGACACTGACACTGAAACACTCCTGGGAGGAAGTTATGAGACACCCAGCATGGATCCTGGAGATGGCCTGGCTTTTTAACCTCATCCACCATTGCTCCCCATCTCAGGCCCTCTGTACTTTCTGCCAAAGGGTATCGTCCCTGACTTCACTTCTCTAGGAAGCCTTCCAGGATCCCCACAAGCCCCACAGGCTCCTCACTCTGACAGCATCCCTGGCCCTATGAGCCCTGTCTCTGGGTGGCTTCAGGATCTCCTGTGTTCATAAGGATCAGAGCTTCCCCTTCTCCTGTGTCGTCCACTGAGGCCAGCAAAGCAGGGAAGGCAATCTACCTCTCTGCAGATCCCGAGCAAGCCCTGCGTGCCAGGATCATGGCTCAGATGGGGTCCTGGATCAGTGAGTCACAGATTTGAGGGACAGACAGACATACAATTCTAAGACAGGTGGGCTGGGGCAAGAAGGGAGAGTTGATGCCAGACTTGGTGGAGCTGGGTCAGGGGGAAAAGGTGGTTAGAATATAACAATTTCTTGACAATGAGGCCAGAAGAGAGCATAGCTTGGAGAGGCACACCTAATGTCACAAGTCCAAGAAGGTGGTGGGCACAGGCAGATGTTAGGAAGGGTCTGCGGGAGTAGCGAGGTGAGTACACAGAGCAGATGGAGGCTGCAGTTCAACTGGGGAAAAGGCTAAGTTTAAGGCTAGAGCAGTGTGGCTTTGAAGGTCCACCTGGGTTAGGATTTTATTCCACAGCCATGTGGAGACTGGCTGCCTGTTTCTGAAAGATTCACTTTGGTGGCAGTGGGGATGGGGGATAGAGACCCATGGGAAAGGCTGAGGACCCCAGGGACTGAGGATGCGGACTCCTGCGCTGGGCTCCCGGCAGTCCCCACACTCACGCAGCAGCAAGCTGTGACGGTGATCTGGATGGTGTTGCGGCCTGGCTGGCACACGTGCTTGAGGTGCAGGGGCTTGTGGGAGGTCTTGTTGTCACCGCGTTCAATGGTGAGGGGCGTGGCGTTCACGCTGACCTGCACCGAGGCGGGCCAGTTGGTGTTCATCTGCCGGTCCTCGTGGTGGTAGCACTTAAACTGCAGCTCCAGGTCAGACCTGGGGGTGGGTCCAAGGCCCAGATTGGCTCTGTGAGAGTGCTGCCCTTGCCTCGAAGCCTGGACCCTAACTCGCCATAGCCCCACGAGTTCTAGGACCCCTCAGGACCCCATATCCTCAGCCACGACTGGTTCCCCAGCCCCAAGCTCTCCCTTCGCACCTAGCTATTCCCCCTGTCCACATCGCCAATCAAAACCCACCCCAACGCTTCCAGCTCCTCCCAGCTCCCTCTACAATCTCCTCTAGTCCCCCTCCTATAAGATGACTCCTGTTCCCCAGAACAGAGACAGAGGGACAGAAAGGACAGATGCTAATTTGACAGGACTAGCTGGAAGGCTGATGATGCCCATCCTGGACAACCGTTAGGAGAAGCCACCCAGGCCAGAGCCACGTCTGGTCTGTTCCCACTGCAAGGTGGGCTGCAAGGACATGGCACTGAAGGAGTGCCCATGACCCCAGTACAACCCCAGAGAATGAAGAACAAGCAGGGCCGGTGGCCAAGGCCCCTGGGGGCAGGGTGAGCACACCCCTGTGCGGGACTCTGTACCTTCCTGCCCGAGCAACTGAGCTCCTGGGCCCTTGCGCCAACCCCAGCTCTGTCTCAGCCCTCACTGAGCCTGCTCAGTATGGCTGAGGCAGGCAACAGGCAAGCTATGTGTGTGTGCCCACGCCCAGGGCAGGCCCGTCTCAGCCCTCAGGGTGCTCCCTGGCAGCTGAAGGGCTCTGTCATAGGCCCTGCCAGGCAGTGGGAAGGGCTGAGGGTGGGGACAGCAACAAGTTCAAGGACCCAAGCCCTGTCTGCTCCTGCCAGCTGTGAGAACCCCACAAGCCAACCAGCTTCTCTGGCCTCACTGTCCAGAGAGCAAGCACTGCTCACTCACAAGATCAAACGAGATCAGGTGTGGAAGGAAGGGAACACAGGGCCTGGCCCAGCCAGGACTCTGCATGCTGGTGTTCCAGTGTTTGAGCAGCAGCCCTGCCTGGAGGCCAGCCCCTTGTAATCTGCAGGCACGACTCAAATCTGGTCCTGCCCAACTCAGCCTCATCTTTCCACATCCCTGGCTCTGGATACAAGCCACGTTCAAGGTCCCCCTTGCCAACTCAGGGCCTCCACAGCGGTACCTCCTTCTCAGCCTTTAGGTCTGAGCTAGTCTCTGGGAGGTTGTCTCTGACCACTCAGGGTGGCCTCACGACTGGGGTCACAGCTGCTCCCTGCCCTCAGGCCCCTATGCCTACTGAGGCTGCCTGTTTTTTTTCCCTGTACCCGCAGGTTCCCTGTGACATCCCCAGGACCTAACACACAGCAGGGCCCAGCCCATGATGCTGAGCAGGTGAAGATGGCAGACAGACACTGCTGCCACCTCTCCAGGGCAATGCTGGGGCCCAGGGATATCACCACCAGGTGCCTCTTCCACCCAGCTTGGGCCCATTTCCCCTGCCCCCCATCCAACACTCACCTCCACATCAGTGTCTGGTGGACTGTGGGCCGCAAGTGAAAGACATGGTTGCTGACGGCCAGGTTGTGCTCCAGACGGAAGGGCTCCAGCACCACACCATCCCGCACAGGGAACGTGAGCCGCAGCTCATCGTTATGGTTAGCTGGGGCGGGGTAGGAGGTGGATGAGCCACAGCCTGTGGCCACCACGGGCACACAGCAACATGGGCTCCAGGTGGGTGGGGGTCACTCACCCTCATGACGCACAGGAACACATGGTGTGTGTGTGTGTGTGTGTGTGTGTGTAAGTAAGCAGGGCCACAGAGGCTGGGCTGTGTGCCTAGGCACACCTCAGGGAGCCCGTTTCTTCAGCCCACCTGACCCATCCCGAGTGTGTGTGTGTGTGTGTGTGTGCGTAAGCAGGGCCACAGAGGCTGGGCTGTGTACACCTCAGGGAGCCCGTTTCTTCAGCCCACCTGACCCATCCTGAGTGTGTGTGTGTGTGTGTGTGTGTGTAAGCGGGGCCACAGAGGCTGGGCTGTGTACACCTTAAGGATCCCGTTTCTTCAGCCCACCTGACCCATCCCGAGTGTGTGTGTGTGTGTGTGTGTGTGTGTAAGCAGGGCCACAGAGGCTGGGCTGTGTACACCTCAAGGAGCCCGTTTCTTCAGCCCACCTGACCCATCCCGAGTGTGTGTGTGTGTGTGTGTGTGTGTAAGCAGGGCCACAGAGGCTGGGCTGTGTACACCTCAGGGAGCCCGTTTCTTCAGCCCACCTGACCCATCCCGACCATTCCTTCTTCCCATGTCCCACCCATCTCAGATCTGCATGCCCTCGTCCCCACCTGCTCCTGGCTCTCCAAGGCCCAGGCTTCTTCTCTCAAAGCCTCCAGCCACTCAGGCAGATGGGAAGGAGGGTTATTCGTAGCCCAGCCCCAAAAGGCAGTCCGACTTCCATGACTCCCACCCACTGGAGCCTCGCAGAGCCGGCCAGACAGAGGGAGGGACAGTGGGGTGCTCACCTGGGGGTGGCGGCAGAGCGCTCATATTTGGCTTGATGTCAGGTGGAAAGGGTGGTTTAACATCTTGGCTTGGAGACAGGTATGGGGGGATGCTGCTCCCCGGGGTCATGGGGGGCGTGGGGTTCCCTGGAACAGGTGAGTGGGGGTAATTTGCCACAGGAACTGGCCTGGGTGGCTGGAGGGAAAGAGAAACCACATAGATTATAGGGTCACAGAGATAAGGAGGGGACATGGCTGTGGACCCCCCACCAACTGCAGGGTCCTAGGGCTATAGTCCCCACTCCCCTGAGGAGGAGAGCTCCCAAGGGAAACCCTCCCATCCTCCCGGCTGGCGCTCAGGCCTCTGTTCCATCAAAAGACAAATGAGACAGGCAGGTCCACCCTTCACATGGGTCATGGCACTGCTGAGTTCCTCCAGTGTACCCTGCCCATTGGACAAAGGGGACACAGGCTCAGGGTGAGGGGGTACTTGTCTAATATAATCCTGGGAGGAGAGGAGAGCTGGGATCAAGCCCAGATCAGAACTCCAGGCTACACCCTCCACCCCCACCCCACTCCATGGGGGACCCCAGGAGTCAGGCCTGCAGCACCAGGGGGGCAGCTGACTCCCCAGCAGCCTCTTTCCCCTTATGTTCTTGGTTCTTGCCTTGCATTCTTCCACACTGGCCAGGTCCACACTTGTTCCTGGCCCACCCACCTGGAGCTGTGGATTCTCTGTCCTGGCATTACCATGCCCAAGAGCAGGTGACCCAGGAGTGCAGTCCCACCTGCAGGCCCTATTAATGCCCAGAGAGGCTGTAGCAGGAACGGTCAGACCCCTTAGGCACACAAGTGCATGTGGGTACTAATTCCTAAGACAAAAACGGGAACATACCCTATTGACGTTCCCCTGGCTGTAGTTACTGTAGCTGCTTCCCGAGAAGGTGTTATTTTGTCCATTAAACTGCTCTGGCTGTTGAACAAGATAATTCCATGAGTGTGGAAGGCAAGAAAACCTATCAAAAGCCCACTCTTCCTTCTCATATGAAAATCAGCAGGAGTACAGAGGATGCTAAAGAGGCCACCCAGTGTAGGGGTGAGGAGCAGGGCACCCCTTTGGGGCAGCCTTTCCATTCCCTGTCCACAGCTAGTCATTCAGCAAGAGTTTACAAAAATAGAAAACACCCAGTGTGCTAAAGTTGGAGCAAAAATACTAACCATACATGGCAGGTGGTCATGTAAGTTGGTAGGATTCCTTGGCAAATAAATGTAAAGTATTTCCAGAGTTTTCTTCCCTCCTGAAAATTACTTTTATAATAATCCCAAAGAAGGAAAAAACTATGTGCCTGAAGATACTCATGTTGGTGTTATTTCAAAAGTGAAAAATCAGGAACAACGCAATGTGCAACAGAAAGAGAATGGTAAAGTACAGTGCATCTATCTCGGTGGAATGTTAGGCAGCCATCAAAAGTGAAAACCACGAAGACTCTGACTCTATAGGAATAATAGTGATGTGCTTAAGATTTAAGGTCAAGTGAAAGAAACGGATTCAAAATTATTACATAATATGTTGGTGCCTGCATGCATGTAAAGAGACAAGGTTTAGAATGAAATGTTAATATGCTTAGGTGGCTGCTGCTTCTTTAAATGTATTTCCTTATTATTATCTTGTGTGTGCTGTAAATAGTAAAAGGAGAAGGAAAACCACTGTCTTGAGCCCCATGAGAACAGGAACCAAGGAAAGCCAGTCTGATGGTTTAGCCACCACATGCAAAGCTCTCAGCACACGAGGACATACCCAGAGATCTCTGCCTGTCCCCTGGTGACTTTGGGGGATACCCAGGGGACAGATGACATAGGTGGGGGTAGAGATGTGAGGTGGTGGGACTCACCTTGTAATACTGCCCCATGTTGACCGTGGGGGGCGGGTACTGCCCAGTGTTCGGCTGGCTGGGCATCCTTTGCCCAGGGTAGCTGGGAGAGGTGAGTGGCCGTGGGGGGTTGGGGGTCGGGTACTGGCCTGGCTGGGTGGGAAACTGGCTGTTTGGTCCATATTGCTGGTTTCCATAGTTGGGCTGCGGCAGCAGAGAAGAGAGAGGGGAAAGGTCTTGAATGTCATGGAACTAAGCCATTCTCTGGAATGCCAGGACTGCCCAGCCCCCTCCCCGCTGTCCCTGAGATTTTCTACCCTCAAAACACCCTCCCCACCCAGACATGGGAGAGGCTGAGCCAGATGCCGAGGCCCCTTCTTCTGACATCCAGGGACACTACCTTCCGCCTATCGGGCTTGAAGGCCACGAAGCTGTCTTTCTCAGAGCACCCTGCCCCCTAAACTCCGGGGGAACTCTCAGAGCCTCTTGTTCCCACCGTTATGAGGGGGTTTGATTCTAAAGCCCGCTTTGCATCTAGTGCTTGGTAAGTGACAGAGGAACACAGGCAGCAGGATGTGCTTCCAGGCAGGTGGCCTTCCTACACACCCTGCATTCAGAGGCTGGGAGGTGCTGTCCCTGTACCCCACACTGAGGTTCGGTTTAGGGCCATCTGTGCAGAGGTTGGGAGGACCAGGATGGTGAAAGGACAACCTTTCTCAGGGGACAGTTGACAAAGAAGACAGCTTCAGGGTGGGGCAGGCTTGGGCCTCAGAGATCTCCCAGGTGACACACACCATTCCTGCTTACAATGATCCCCACCCTCTAGACACCTTCCCCATCTGCAGGATCAGGTGACCTCAGGGCCACCTGCCACCCAGACACCCGAGGCCATTATGTCTTGAGGAGTCAGTGGTTTCTTCTTCCCTGTCTGATGAAACTCCTCATCTATTAACTGTCTCTCCTGCCCTCTAGGCTCAGGGTCCTCTAGGCTCTGGGAGGCAGCTGCGTCCCAATGTCTGGCAAAAAAACAGGCGCCCAGTAAATACTTGCTCAACAAATGAAAGAAGGCCCTGGGGTCAGATGGCAGAGGAGGGGAGATGTCTGTGTCAGTGCTGAAGAACTTTGTGCTGCTTGCCCTGTTGTGACATGGTGGCTGCTCTATGACACTGAGGTTCCCGTCATATCACTGGAGGAGAGGAAGCAGAGGCTGAGGCCTGCCCAGCAGGCTAGAGAAGAGACTTGGTGGAAACAGGTGAGCAGACTCCAGCCTCTGTCCCAAGGTTCCAAAGACTCAAATATTCTGTGAGCATGCCACTGCAAGGTGAGGCCTGTCTTCCCACACAGGGTCAGGCCAAGCAGGCTGTGATCACTCAGTGTCACAGCCTAGTGTCAGGCATTTTGAAGCTGGTAGCATCAATATTCTATGAAGAGGATGGCTTAGTAAACATAACCAGGAAGTTTTGGGGTGCCCTGTAGTGGCAGGAAGAGCTGGGAGCACAACATTGCTGCAGGCTAGTGACTGGGAGTCCCACTGCCTTTTCCTTAGACAATTCCTTGGGAGCCGGGAGCTTGGAGGCTTCAAGTACACCCCTAGCCGGGCCAGTGGGGACATGGGCAGTTGAGAGGAGAGGGCTGGGAGGGCACAGATTTGTGTTGAACTGCACGTGGGGGTGAGGCCAGCAGCTTGTCCCTCCTGCCTACCACATACCAAGGACAGCCAGGGCCTCCGGAGCCACCATCCTTCTCTGGCCCCATCCTGGAGTGTCAAGGCTTGACCCAGGCTCCTGAGTGTCTGAGGAGGTCCCTGACCTCTCCCTATCATAGACTCAGGACTCCTCCATCATGGCCAAGTCACCCTCTAGCCTGAGCTTGGATGGATGCCAAAGGGAATCACACAGACAGAATCACACAGACATCCAAGGAATTTTAGGTCTTTGGGCTCTAAACCCACTGTAAGCCCAAGCTCAAGGCCATAGTTCTGAGAACAGGTGTGCAAGCAGAGTGTTGGGGGGAATGCTCTGGAAAGGGCTTTGTCTGGGTAAAGAGGAAAGATAGGCCTCCTGAGGAATATGTTCCAGGCCAGGATTCTGGGGCCTGTGTCTTCTGCAGATGCACTATATCCTTACCCAGATAGGCTACCTGCTGCCAACTCCTTTCTGAGTGCTAACTGAAGGCCTGTGACACCTGCTCCAGGGAGTCCTCCCTCTCAGACCTCACGGTAAACTCCATACACCCCATCTCTTGTGGGTTCCTGCTTAAAACTTATCTTTCCTGCTAAAGTCTCAGTTCTGGAGGACAGAAGGTGTGGGTTATGCTTCCCTAAATCTTCACCCCACCTTTGTCTGAGCTGGCTGGGCAGCCCAACAGGCAGGGTTCCTCCCAGCAGAGCAGCTGGGAAATATACTGTCTGCCTTCCAATCGCTTCTCAGCAACACAGCTTTCAGATATTTTCAGGGTTTTGTCTCATCTTTCATTCTTGGAAGTGAGAAGCCCTCCATGTGGGTGTGAGGAATGTGGACCCAAGGAGGTTTTGTACTTTACCAAAGTTACCAGCTAGTGTCTATGCCAAGACAGAAGAGAATACTAACAGCAAGTCCTGCCTGCTGAGTGCCCGAGGATGCCAGCCCACGGCAAAGTGCTTCTGGGACATCCTGTCATTCAAGCCTCCCGAGCAGCCCTGGGACGGTCACTGCCATTCACAACTAAAAAACCCTGAGACTCAAGAAGGAGATATGACTTCCACAAGGTCTTCCAGCTGAGAAATGGCAGAGCTGGTCTTTAAACCCAGAAGTCCCTGATGCCCAAGGCTTTGCCTTTTGGTCCAGGCTTTCCGAAGGTCAATCCATTCCCCTCCCAAGGTACCATTTCGATGTTTTCAAGCCCCAGGTCCTCCTCACCTCCCACTTTGCCCACCACCTGTGTGCTGTCACACTCACCTCTCCTGGGTATGGCCTCTTTATGCTCTGAATGGGAAGGGACTGGGGCCGGGGGCCTGGGTAGGTCTGCTGGGGCATCCTCTGCCCATGTGTGCCAAAAGGGCTGATGCCGGGTGGCCGGGGCTGGTTCATACCCATGGGAGGGCCGCTCATCCCCGAGGGTGTCATGCCAGCCGCCATGCTTGCGGGGTTCATGCTGCCCCCCATGGAGGCAGGCCCCCGAGGCCCGGGCTGATTCATGAATTGGCTGTTATACGCCTGGGTGGGACCCATCTGGAAAGAGGAACAGACCTTCAACGGGAGAAGAAGAAAAAAAAAAGAATAAAATGCCACATGCATTGAAAGTGCAGGGAGGGAAAGGTGGGGGAGGAAGGGGACTCTGAGTTCGGGGGACACTTTCCTGTGTGGCTGCAGCTGGTGACCAGGCCCCAGGGAGTGCTGGTCTCCTGGGCTCAGTGCTGCCCTCTGCAGGCCACACCAGAAAAATGCAGCCCAAGGAGTGTTACAGGAAGGGGCACAGTCAGTCACTCCAAGGTACAGGCAGCATTTCCAGGGAGGCAGGCAGGGTAGCGGAAGAGGGTGGAGGGGTGGGGAGGGGTGTGGGAGGATGGCGGTAGATGAGGATGGAGGCAGGAGCCCCTTTCTTGGAAGCTCTGGCGGTGCCCTTGGTCGCTGGCCAGTGGAGACACACCCTTCATCCACGAAGTCTAATGCAGTCCCAGCTCCCACCTCTGCCCCCCTGCCCCGCGGTCCCCTTCCTGTAATCCCTGCCGCCATGCCTGCCCTGGATTTCTGTGGGAGCTCCCCCGCTCCTTCCAGCCCCTCCTTCTGAAGGGCATGTGAACAGAGCTGCGATCCGGGCAGAACCCTCACATGGGGTAACTAGGAGAGCACTGGTCTTCAGAGGCCACCCAGGGGACAGACTGATGATAAGGCTATTTTGGACACTGAGCCTGCTTTTTGGTGAGTAGGGAGGGGCCCAGAGAGACATACGGAACCTTTCTCCATAGGCAGACACACGAGCCACCAACCCACACAGAAAAAAACACAAGCACCCAAACGCCACCCTGGCCACACTGACATACCCACATCCTAACACACACCCGATACTTCAGCTCCCCCAGTGCACACAGCCCCACAGGATTCCTTGGTGCTGTCTGCCTGTCTGGTCAGGAGTGCAGGACTAGTGGGGTTCTTACCGGTCCATACTGGTTTATATCCTTGTTCTGTGTCTCCTGCAAGGCTGCCACGGTGGCCGTGGCTGTGGCCGTGGCTGTGGCAGCCGCTGCTGCCACTGCGGCTGCTGCGGCGGCAGCTGCCGGCTGAGTGAAGTCAGCAGGCGGCCTGGTGTGTGGAGGAATGCCCATGCCTGCAGGGGCATTAGGACCCCCGGGGTAACTGCAGTGGGGAGAGAAGAAGGGAAGAGTTACATATTGCCTGGGTCTAAAGGGGAACCCACGACAAGCCTTGGAGTGTGAGGGAGAGAATGGGGCCATTCCAGGGGAAGCATCTAGACCCAGTGCCCAGACTAACAGCCCAAGAGGACAGGCGCTTCCCTGTGGGTTGGCAGTTATTTGTGCAGGCGCTTGGTGACCGCCAAGCTGCTGTGTTTCTGGCGCCCTGGCTAGGTGCCAGCTGGTGCTCTCTGTCATGTGTATTAGATCGCTGCACCTCGGCTGCCCCATTCAGCCCATCTTCTGGAGGACACCTAGCTTCAGAGAACCCAAGCAACTTGCCCACGGCCCTGCAGAGCTGGATCGCGGGCTGCCATGAAGCTTCAGGTGTGCCTGGCACCTGTGTTTAACCACCGGCCCTACTGCGCTGACACTTAACCAGGGCTGACGTCAGCCCCTGGAGCTGGGAGGTGTGAACCTGAGGAGGCGGTCTTGGACAGAGCAGGGCGGCGAGACGAGGAATGGGTGCCTCTGCCCCACCCCACTTCCCTGGGACACCTTCCTGGGGTTCCCTGTCCATTCCTCCCTTCCTCTTGAACCAGGGGATTCTCAGCCTCTGAGCAGTTCTGCCCCAATAACCCACGGGGTAGAGCTGGTCTTCCCACACCCCATGTACAGCTGCTCCTCAGCTCTCCCGGTCCAGCTCTCTCAGTGTCTTCTAACTCATGATGGTAAGAGGCAGAGAAAGGCCCCTCTGGGGAATGTGAAAGAAGCTCTTCTACCCCCACGGGCTGCTGGCTGCCACATGCTGCCCAGCTGCTGTAGCATCTAACCCGCAGATTGGCCCTGAGATTGGGGGGTGCCTGGGTTCCCTCAACTGATGTGACAACTGGAAGGAAGTGCCAGGGCTCAGCCCCACTCCCCAGGCCAGGAAGTGTGGTGCTGGGGTCTCAATCTGACTCTTCTGCCTGGATGGAGGGCAAGAGGAGGGCTGATCGTGCTTCTGAAGGTGGCCACCTGGGCCAGCCTGCTCACCTGGCCCCGAAGCCCCCACTGCCGGGGTAGTTGGGCCGGCCGTACATGCTCTGCTGGATGTAGGGCTGAGTGGGCCCGGCCTTGGCTGAGAACTGCTGCTGCTGACCAGCAAACTGCGGGGAGCTGAGGCCGGGGTTGCTGGTGGTCATGCCCGATGCCATGGGGTTGCCGCCTGGATTCATGGGGTTGTTGGCATTGGCCATAGGGTTCCCGAGGACCTGTGGGTGGAGGGAGTGGTTGTCACCCAAGCAGGTACCAGAGGTGACATGGAGAGGAAAAAGGAGAAATCAAGGTGGGTGGAGAAAGTGAAACAGAGGACAGTGAGGGAAAGGAGAGAAAAATGGGGCATTAACTGTTCCCAGGGCACACTGATTAGAAATGAGTAACCCAGCCTGGAACCAAGCAGCATAGATGAGACCCTCGGCCTGGGATGGAATGAGGAGGGGCTGGGTCTGCTCCAGGCGGCAGTTGGGACACCCTGGCCTTCTCAGCTCTCCTGCCCTGCAAAGGGGCCCAGATGCCCAGAGGATCAGGCCACACAGAGACCCTGGGCTGCTGCTTTGTGAGGGAGAAGAGAAGCCCGATTTGCCAGCTCTGGAAGGCAGCATGATCCTGGTGGAGGAGCCCCTGTGGCCCAAGACCACAGGTAAGCCCAGTGGTGCCCTCCAGGGCAGTGATCAACCCTGAGCCTTCCATGTGGCTGTGGCAGAAGCCAGGCAGGGAGAGAAGAGTGGAGGAAGTAGGATGGAGGAGGGAACGAGGGCAGGAAGCAGGTTTGACTAAAGGCATGGAGAGGGATGTGCCACAGTATAAAGCTCAACATTTTGCTGAAATCTAATCCAGGCCATCCAGGGTCAAAGGCTCCAGATGTTGGAGTGCGGGGGCCATGAACACCCAGGAAGTTCTCCTGTTTACCCAACCAAAGTAAACGTGGGCTAGGGAAGAACACCCAGTGGTCTGTCAGATGAAAGCCATTCCCCTAGGAAGGCCCTAGGATGGGGGAAGTGCCACCATCCTGAGGCAGGTGTGGACAAATCCTGGGTGGAGGCATACCCACAGCTGGGTGTGCCCTAAAAGCTGGTCTTTCCAGCTGGGCAGAGCCTAGCAGACAAGGAGGGCTGGCAGGGAATGGTGACCAAGGGCCCCAGGGCTCGGGGGATGGTCCTGTCTAGGTACAGCTGTGGCTGGGGGCAGGACAGGCTCTTACCTGGCTCTGGGATGTGTTGGTCACTCCCCAAACCGTGGTGACCACGGAGAGGGAGCCGGGAGGCTGGTTGGTGTTCTGCTGCCAAGGGACAGAGTCATAGGGGAATGACCCATCACTGCAGAGGGAGACAGAGTGGGGATCCTCAAGGGCTGCAGACAAAGGCTTACAGGGAGGCATATCCCATCACCCCACCATGTTCTGCATCTCCCAGCCAAGACTGGTGACCCTCATCTCAGTCAGTCCTGGATCCCTGGGCCTGGCACAGTGTCTGATCTAGAACAGGCATGGCAGGCATTGTGAAGGACTGTGCAAGTGACCACCTTTCCCCCCATCACTGCAGAGGGGCCACCCATGGCCATCTGTCTCACCTTAGCCTAGGTCCACAGGCCATACTATGGAGCAAGAAGGGGGACCCACCCACAGGTGCCATCTAAGCTCTTCCTTCAACCATGCATGGACCTTAAGTAGCATTCCAGTAGGCACTCTGGCTCCCCGCCAGCTTCCCCTTGGAACTTCCTGGGCGCTTCTCAGAGGCCCCTTCTCAGTCTCAGCTCTGCCCCTCCCTCACCACTCCTTGCAGCAGGTCCATGCAGCTGTCCTGGGATTTGGCCTTTGGGAAGAGCTTCCTTCCATCACTCTCCCTTCCCGATTTGGATGGCTGGTGCAGGCCCACCTGCCACGCTTCCTCCCGTTCCCACCCCAACCTCTCTCGTGACCTCACCACGCTAACCTTCCTCAGACACCCAAGATCCTCTGCACAGAGACCTTCAGTGGCTTCTGGTGTTCACAAAGCAAAGTCCAAACTCACACTTCAGAATTAGTTCACCCTGTTGGCTAATCCCGTCCAACCCTGCTTCCCACCTCGGCTCCCCTCTCTCCCAGAGCACCACAGCTGTTCCCACATCTCCCCAGTCTCCTCCTTGGGCCCAGCAGTACCCACCTTGTCTGGTGACATCTCCTGAGAAGCCCGCAAACATCAGAAGCCAGGACTTAACCCAAGGCCTGACACCCCACCCTGCGCACAGTAAGTGCTTAATAATGGCTTCCTCTTAGTTGCCGTGATGGAGGCAGAGTGAGATCCAGCAAGCCCTGGGGAGCGAGTCGCAGGGGCATGAGCCTGAGAAAGGGTTGGCGGGCTCACAGCCTGAAGGAACCGACAAGGGTCCCGGCCCCCAGGAGTGCTGGGCCGGGCCTGCCTCTCCCCAGTGTGAGTCCTGTACTGACTCTCTGGCACCTCTCCCTCACAGAAAATCCCAGACGCGGCCCCAGAAGGCAGAAAAGCAGAGCACCCATACCTGCGGCCCCACCTGTGCCCATGGCACACCGGTGGGGGTGAGGCCACGAGGCAGCACTGTCGGGTACCCGGCAGGTTGGCCGGGGAAGGGGTAGCAGAGGGTGGTGTGGTAGGAAAGCGCCTCGTGCCTCAGTCTGGCTTGTGCCTTTATCACAGGAGGTCAGCAGAAGGCAGAAGTTCTCACTCATGCCTAGAGAACTCTTAACCCAGCTGAGTAGCCAGTCCGGGCCCTGGAAGTACAGAGGGGCTGGGAGCTGGGAGCTGGCCTGGTGGTAAGGACAACTAGGAAGGAGGGGCAGTCCTGCACATCAGGCAGGCAGAGGGGAGCTGGGGTCTGAGTCTTGCATCCTGCTCCTTGCCTGGTGGCCCTGGTATTGGTCAAGTTGGGTGGGTGCCCTGCACAGGTGGTCAGACTGGAGGGGAGGCCCATGTATGTGTCACTGACTGTCTGCCCATGCTTGCTGTCCCCCTGCCTGGACACCCCCTCTGCCTGGCCATCCCTTGGCTTCTTGTCTCTGCTCAGAAGTTGCTCACTGGAGGGGCCTGCCTCAACTCCTGGTATAAGAGCAGCGTCACACCTACTCCTCTTCCCTCTTATCCTGTACCCTGGGTACAAATTCTGGACTGGTTCTTCCCTGACTCAGGGCCCTGGCGCAAGTTCTCAAGACTGCCTGTATTCAGTTTCCTCATCCGTAAAATGGGCATAAGAATGGCAACCCCACTCTACTTTTCCAGCATGTTCAAACTTCAGGTCATGAAATGTGAGCAGGTCATGACACTGAAATGGCATGAGGAGAGAAAAGACGGAATGAAACAGAAAGTAATCAAGTGTGAGTACACAGTAAGGGTGAGTATTGTTCCCTGAACTTATGTCTCGGTTTTATACACAAGTGTGTGTAACCCGGGTCACGTGTGTAACCCGGGTCACGGTGTAATAGCTGCATTTACTGTGGGCCTCAGTCAAGACTGAACAATACAGGCCTTGGTGCTGTTAACTCTTAGTCAGTGTGAGGTCTCTAAGCATAAGGCTTAAAGGGGAGGATACAGACAGAAAGGCTTTCTCTGGTGGAAAGTAACACACACTTTAGGATTACTCATGATTTCTGGGGGACATCAATAGGCCTAGGACTTTGTAGAAAGAAGCTGTCCTCAGGGAACCCAGCTCTCCTGCCTGCCCCCTGCCTCTGCTGGCCAGATGACATGGATCAGCGGAAAGGGGACGAGGCCTAGATGCACAGGCCAAAGGCGACAGACAGCTCACAGTCTCTGTATCTGGGGTGGCTGACTGGGGACCTGGGAGTCCAGAGCTTGGGCGGGGCTGAGAAGTACAGAAAGTAGGCAGTGGCCCTGCTCCTCAGCACAACTGGGCTGGAAGAAGCTCTGCTCTCGCATGGTGGCCCCTGAGGACCCGGGCCACTGCCTGGTCCCAAGGGCTGGCACACCAGAGTCTTGCAGGGAGGCCTGGAAAGGCCATGGTTTTAATAAAAAAAGAGGAGACTCTTGGCCAACCCCTTTCCTTGTGCTAGGTTGACTGGGACTGAACACAGAACCCTGGAACTTAACAGCACAAGCCCGAGTCTGTCTTCTCTCCCCAGAACACCTGCCCTCCAAGCTCCCATCAACCCCACAGGCTGGTGTCCAATTCTCATCAAGGTTCCTATCCTTTCAGAACATGCCTGGCTGGCTCAGGGAGTGAAGGCCTTGGGGAGGGCTCCATCTGAGCCCCGGGGGGCTGGCAGCTGCTGCCTTACCACCTCAGGCGGGGAGGCCCCAGCACACTGGGATACTGCACAGCTCACAAACAAGCTCCCAACTGCCCTGCAGCTCCGTGGGTGGCCCCTGTGGGCGGAAAACGGCTCCTTCCTGTTTTGTCCCCTCCACCCCAAACTCGGTGAGAAGCAAGCCTAACCGACGTTCCCAAACTGAGTATCCCGTCGTCTGGCCAGAAGGTTCACTCCAGAGCCCAGGCACATACCTGGTGTGCACGCATGTGGATGGGGGACACATGTGCATGCACATGGGCCCTGCTGCCATGTTGCTGTGCACACACGGGTAAGAGACAGGCACACACATGCAGGAGTGGTTTCGGGGACCTGCCACCCCCACTCGCACCTGCTGCAGAAGCAGAAGTGGTAGCCGCGCCAACACGGCTGTGACTCATCTCCTGGGGAGACGGTCTTGCTGCCGCGGTGAAGGCTCTCGCCCCCACAGGCCCATGGCAGCTGTCAGCCCTGGCTGCACTCACACACTGCTATCGGGGGTGGGTGCGGGGCCCACTCCCCTCAGCCAGAAGAATAAGACAGGTTCCTGGGCCTTGTTGGGGTGAGGGGCCTATGGTGATGAAAAGGAGGCCTAGGGGATCTTGTGGGGTGTCCTGAAGCCCCTTTCCTCTCCGGCAAGTACTATTTAACCAGCAGATATGCTCAGTCGGGTCAGAGGTCCTTACTTAACACTTTGGGGCCGCCCACTGGGAACCACTTCCCTCCTCTTGTCCATACCTGATAGCAGCTCTGAGGGACTCCTAGGCCCCTGGGATCCGAGAATCCCACTTCTGTAATCATGCCCAGCTCTGTGCACCCCCAATACAACAAGCCCTGGTCTCATACCACAAGCTGCCCCTAGCCACAGTCCTGTTCAGCCCAAACTACCCCCCAAATTCTTTTCCATGTACAGAGGCACCAGTGCCAGAAGCCACTTTGGATCTTAGCAATGTTCTGCCTGCCAAGCACCTCCTAACAGCAGGGCAGCTGCTTTCTCACCTCTGGGCCTCTTCTCAGCCTGGGATGCTTCATCCTTCCTGTGAAAAATACCACTTATCCTTTCTAGGCTCCTCCTCCAGGAAGACTTTGTCAGGTCGACTGGCCTGAGCTCCACTTGCTCCACCTGTTCCTGGGCCCCTAGAGGGAGCCTGAGTGACAACCTTCCTGCCTTTTTCCTTCTGCCCCAGGAGCCCCCGAGTTCTCAGGCTACCTGTGCCTGGCATGATGTCTTCACATACCCACAGGGTACAGGAAATCTTTGCTAACCAAAGTGCCAAGGAGAAACACCACCTCTCTGTGCTTTTCCTCTGATGTATGCGGAAGAATGAATAAATGTATCTGTTCATTAAGCCTGCTTGCTGACCACCTACAGTGAGCTCGTGACCACATGGGCACTGGCACCAGGAAGTGAGAGGTCCTGCCCTCCAGGGAGGGACACAAGGAAGCTAATGAAGGAGCTACTTTCTCTAGGGTTCAGTGTCTTCATCTGTAAAATGGGGATGAAAATAGGCCCTTCCTCAGAAGGCTGTCTGTCATGAGGATTGAGAACTCACATGTATAAGGCAAAGGACCATGTCCAGCATACCTTGGGCACCTTAAAATGGTTCCTGCTATTATTGTTATGATTTACTGAGTGGCTTCTAGATGCAAGGAACTATGAGAAGTGACATTCACCTAAGAACTCATTTAATTCCTTGAAGTAGGCTTAACAGATGCATCTTGTAGGAGCAGAGGTTCACAGGGTCCCAGAGTTCATTGAGGGCAAGGGTACCAGGTGGGCTTGAGCACATCCACTGTCTCAGGGAGCTGAGTACCCAGTAAGGCAGCACTTCCCCAAATAAAGATGGTGATAACAAAAGGAAGCAGGTGCTATAAGGCTGTCTGAAAGTCCACAAGAAGGATCCAAGAAGGGGTATAGCTTCCAGGGGTTCTCAAGGATGTCATGTTTGAGAAGCCACCCAGTTAAGGGACAGAAGATACATAAAGAGTTTGGCCTTAAAGACTGGCTGCAGAGAAAAGCCAAAAAGTGTCCCCAGAAAAAAAACAGCTTATACATCAAATCACTAGTTGTGGCCTGGACTGAGTATAATGGCAAACATTCAGGGACTCTGACTAGACATTTTTAAGGCTGGCAGGGGGAGGCCTTGCAGACAGTGGTTAGCTACCTGGCCTCTGAAGTTAGACCTCTTGGGGTCAAACCTTGGCTTGGCCACTGACGATTTCTATGACCCAAGTCAGCCTCAACTTGCTCATCTGTAAAGTGGGACCAACACTCTCCTGGGATGAAACATATGAATACAGGTAAAGTTTAGCACAGTGCCTGGCACAGAGTCCCTAGGACTCTCCTGAGCAAAACCAAGGGCATTTTCCTCTGTTTCCTCAGCACATTTTTTTCATATAAAAGAGTTCTTCACACTGTAGTTACAGTAGATAGCTTACATGTCTGTTTGCCGGCTCCATGGGCACCAACCAATGTTTGCTAAATGTGAGAAAATGAGTAAAGCCCGCAAAGAGGGACTGAGGTTCCTGGATGCCTCCCCTGGCAGTGTCTATAGACATTCATGGAGGGATGAGGAGGGGAGGGATGAGTTATTTCTTCCTTTGCACTTCTAACAGCCACTTTATTTGGGAGAAATAACAAATTCCTATTAAGGGTATTGTCAAACCCTAATTAATTTCCCTGATCTGGCTATACTGGTCCCATCTCCATGCAAGGCTACAGTGTTACCACTAATGAAACACCCAGCCGGGGAGGAGCTGAAGCTCCCACCCTCTTTAATTTCGGGGAGCCATTAACGGTGCTCTCCATCATCACAGTCACTGGGGCCTGCTTCCTTTCTTCCCTGCGGTGAAATGTGGAGAGGAACTTTGCAGCTAACTGCATATTACAGGGGTTTAAATTTTTTCATTAGGAAGGGGGAGAGGAAAAGAGCGTTGCATCTTGGCAATCTGGAACTGATGGGGCAGGATTTATGCCCCCCCTTATTGCTTTTTTTAAAAAATTTTCTGGGGGCAAGAAGAAGGGTCTATGACAAACTGAGCTTGGGGTACAGCTATGTACAAAAGAGCAAACAATTTAAGCTGTAAAGGTGGTGTGATGGGACCAAGGAAGGGAGCCTGGGGGTCAATTTTGATCAGCCCCTTCTTTGTTAGTAGATCACCAATGAGCACATCATGGTCTGATGGCACTGGGTCCATGAGGCATCTTGTGTGCTAGGCCTGGAAATGCGCTGTAAGCCCCGCATTGCTGTTATTCCATTTCTCCAGGGGAGGAAACTGAAGCACAGAGAGGTTATGGAACTGCCTAAAGTTACCCAGATAGAAGATGGCACAGCCAGAATTCAAAACCCAGCAGCCTGGCTCTAGGGCCTGTGTGCTGCTGCACAGAAGGAAGGCCATGGCCCACACAGAGTCCCAGGGGAGACCAGGGACCACCCAGGAACCCCTCCTCTAGGGGCTGCAAACCTCTCACCTGGAAGAGGACGGGTGGCACCCGTCAGCTTTGGAAGCTTCCCCAGCTCTAGCAGGCTTTGATTATAATCAAATTGAGAGTGTAAACAAGATTTATTAGGCTTTTAATTACCTTTGCAGCACTGATTTGCATACGGACAATGTGCTAATCACAAATGACTTTTTTAATCATTCATTAAAAAATCTGGGGAAGACAGCAATATTTGTTGGCTCAAGTCCAGGTCACTACAGGAACTGTGAAAGGGTCCTACTGCCTGGCCGCAGGCTTTCCCTGTTTGGGAAATTACGTGAGGGACTTAGAAGGTGACGCACCCTGCTGGAGTTTCCCTGGAAATGAGGGACTTCCCCCCGGGGAAATTCATGACGATACAGTAGAGGCTGGCTAACTTTGAATCAGGGGCCTCAACAGCCACAAGCACTCAGCCTTAGCCCTGGGCCTGAAGGGACATGGCTGGTCTTGGTTCAGCTGATGACACGTTCTGGTCTCAACTGCCCCACAGTAAGATGGAAAATAAAGTGCAATGCAGATCAGAATCAAGTTAAGGATCAGATACCACTTTCCAGATCTTGAATGGCTCACAGCTGGGTGAAGGGCAGATCTCTGTGTGTGGTTCAATACCCTGCCCTCCCCGACTTTCCCTTCTGATTCTGCCATTCAGGGTGGGAGGTGTTTTCCAGAGTGCCCGCCCCCTCAGTGCCCTCTGGTAGGAGGCTGCGTTCCAGGGAATCAGCTGGTTACCGGTCAGTACTTCACCAGCCTTCCAACACACTCAGCTCTCCCTTCTCCGAGAGGCTCCTCTTTGCATTCTGTCATTCATGGGTATGCACAGGGAGCTAAACTAGTGGCTCTTCTGCCCCCAGTATTTCTTGGGAAAGTCAGTCTGAGTCAGTTGAGTTCACAGAATGCACCTACCTACCTCCCAGACCATCTCTTTCAAAGTCAAGGCCCATGTCCTCTGGGCAGCCTCTTGACAGTCAGCCTGGCCATCTTCTTCCTTCTGAATCCCAAGGCCAAACCCGCCTGTCACCTAATCGTGACTCTGCTTTGATCTGCCAGCTCCCAATCTTGCTTCACTAAGTCTTAGTCTCCATTTCTCCCTTATTTTTCATACTTCCTGTTTAACCCCAGAACCAAATGGTCTCATACCTTCAGCTTAACTCAGCAAAGGCCTGGCAAAGGGCTAGTTGTGGTCCAGATCTGGGCTAGTTGTGGTCCAGATCTGGGGCACTCAGTGGTCTGAATGGCCACAACCAAGCAGGTCTGAGGCAGATCTCTGGGGGGACTACTTGGCAACAGCTTTACTAAAATGACTTGGAGGGGGAAACGATGGAAAGGACATGAGATGTGCTAAGATGAAAGAAAGAATGATTCTGGTAGGACTGAGTTAAAGGAGCTAAAGTGTAACGAGGGTAAATGCTGAGTACACAGCGCACGATGCATCCAGCCACAGCCTGTTCTCATGGCCAGGCAGCTGTTCAGAGAAGTCCTGCAGCTTTTAGCTGAGCCAGGGGCAAGAGGTGGAAGGTGAACAGAGGCAAGCTTTGCCTCTAGAGCAGTGGTTCTTAACCACAGGTGATACCCCACCCCCAAAATGTGGGAGGGTGCTTTTGCAATGCCAAGGGGGGCATGAGAAGAACCAAATGGGTAGGGACCAAGATATTAAATGCCCTGAAAAGTCCTGCACCATGAAAAATTACCTTGGCCCAAATGCCAACAATACCACCCTCCCCAAGGCCCCCAGAAGCATGCACAGAGGAGGCCTATTTTAAGAGCTGAAGTTGTCATAGCCTGGTCAATAGTGAGGCAAAGTCAGTGATAGTACAAAGTGCTTCTGACTGAGGCAGGAGCCGCATGTCGAGAGCTATCCTGCCCAGGCAGGGGGCTAGACCAGAGGAACTCTAGGGTCCCTTATGGCTCCGAGAGTCAACAGTCTCTAATTCGATTTATAAAGCCTGGCCAGCATCCAACTTTCTGGCAGCACCTCAGTGGTGTAACCCGGGTCTCCTGCAGGTGTTCTCAGCTGCAGCTGCCTAGGTCAGAGCTCTGACTGCAGATGGCCCTCTGGGTCACCTAGAGGGGCCCACACAGGGAGAGCAAGCAGCATGGCAGGCTCTGTGGTTCCAAGGTGAGCCTAGCCGGTATAGTGCGCAGAGTGCATCTCCAACTCACCAAGGGACCTCTGAGCAGAACCTGGGGACCTGCCTGCTGAGGCGGGTGCAGGGCGGACCGGCCAGTTCCTTGGTGCCGGGCAGCTTCTGGCAAGCCCATTCCCACCTGTGACCTGGGGCTCCTGGTGGCTCTGGCCCTGACCTGGGGTCCCTCTCAGCTCCTGTCTGGCCAGCCTGGGCTGGCTCTGTCCTTGTCTGGTGGTGGGACCACCAGCTCTGTCACCTTCCTAAATCCCTTCTGGCCCTGGTATTTCTGGGTTTGCTCAAGATCCTGCTCAGGAAAGAGGGAAGGCCTTGGGTCCAGGAGTGTTAACTTTCTGTTGGAAGTCTACAGCCTGAAGAAGAAACCCACATCCACCAAAGGGACAAAGAAGTCAGGCTGGGTGAGTGAGACCAGTCCTTGCAACCAGTTTTGATGGAGGAGAAGCAGTGCTCACTCATGAGGATTTAAGAAAACAGCTGCATTTTAGAAAACGTAGTATCTGCACAGCTGCTTAGAGGCCCCACCCCAGAGTTTCCACCTGAGGGCGTTTCGAAGAGACGTGTGGGGCCGAGCACCCATCCCAGCGGCCCTGGGCCCCGCCCTGGGGGCACAGGCCACTCACCTGTGTGACAGAGTGGGTTTCATGGAGCTCATGGAGCTGAGGGAGGGCTGCATGGGTGGCTTCCCGGGGGGGTCACTCTGGCGGCTCTTCTGATGCCGGAGCAGCAGCAGGCGGCCAAGCTCCTCGCACCAGGACGACAGCAGGGCTGGAAGGAAGGACAGGATGGTCAGCAGGCACCTCGGCCGCCAGGCCCTGCAGCGCCCACCCACGCCTCGCTTCCCCAGGCTGGGTGCTGTGGATGCTGGCTCTGCTCCCCCCTGGGTGATGGTGGGAGAATCACAGAGCTCCCTCAGGTGGCCTCAGCGCTCTCACCCGGAGGTGGGACCAACACCCGCAGGACGACTAGGAAGCTCCTGCTGCCAGAGAAGCAAGTCTAAGGAGGCCTGATTTTCACTTTAATGAAGGCAAAAACCAAGTGGCCAGGGTCTTCAGGCCCAGTGTCTCAATGAGGAGCTCCTCAGGCCTTGTCTGAATCACACCCTTTACCACCTTCAGCTGGCACTAGGGGAAGATGCCCACATGCATGAAGCCCCAGTGGCAATACAAGGCTGCCACTTCAAACTACCCAGATCGTGGACAGAGTCCCCTGTCAGCCCAAAGTCCTGACAGGTAGGGCTGGGGACCCTCTGAGACCCTGCCAGGCTCTGGCCCTGCCCATGGCTTGGGCAAGTTCTATCAGGAGTGGGCAGTGAGTGGGGTCTGACATCCTGGGGAGCAGTGAGTTCTTTCCTGCCCCTCACTGGATGGGCAAGTCTAGGAAGCAGCTATTAGACTAACAGGAGAAACCTGTCCAGTCCCTATGAGCTGACTGGAAGGGAGGTGCCCATGTTCCCAGTAGTCTGCTGGGGGCCAAGGGGCAAGACAAGTGTGGTGGTTTTCATGGGGAATGGGGCCGGGTAGCAAGTGGTCCCACCACAGCCACTGAGTTCATTTGCTTGGCTTATATAGTGGCCAATCAAGATTGCGCATGGGGCTGAAACCCAGCCTGTGTCCCCTCCCAAGAGGGTACCTGTTTCTCCCTCCAGGAGGGGATGCCAGTGGGCAAGCTGTATCTTAAAAGCTGTGTCCTACCCCTCTCTGTAGGGTTCATCTTGCCACCACTTGCACAGGGAAGAGGGTGCCAGAGCGGAGAGGCCCCCCCCCAGCCCGTGTGTGTCTGCCCAGAAACTGGTGCCCAGCACACATCTGCTGCAGCTGGAGGAGAAAGCATTCTATTCAGAGACACTGGAACAAACAGAAACGAATTTCCAGATTGCTCCATTCTTTTCCCAGGTCCCTAGTTGCTGCTTCTTGTGTGGGAGGGGCACTGGGCATCTGGAAACTCATTTGCATGCCAAGCACGAGGCCTGCTGGATCGAAGTGATGGAGGGATTGCTTGGCTGCCAGCACAAAGGACGGCCACAGATGGTGCCGCCTGCTGCCCACTCTGCCCCTCCCAGCCCTCGCTCCTCCCAGGGACCACTATGACATGTGGGAGGGGATGGGGGGCACCATGGGGGCATTCAGAATCTTCCTCCAATGTCACAGGGCAGCCCCCTGCTTGGTCATGGACAGCCCTTGTTTTCCTATCCCTGGTGGAGTGGTTCTCCATAAAGGGAACAAAGGGAGGCTGGCGGCATACTAGGGCCAGGCTGTAGAGGGCCTAGGATGCTGTGAACAGATGTGATGTATCTGACAGCCACGACACAACACAGATGCCATGACAGCCACATTCCTACAACCAAGAGGGAAAGGATGGAGAGGGAGGGAGGCACCACCCCTTGCTCCCTCAGCCCAAGTGGCCAGCTAGCACAGAAACCTCGCCGGCAGACCCATGGTGGGCGGGTGGGCAGCCAGAGAGCATGCTCTCAATGCTCTCACCATGGTGCAAAGCAACGAAGGCTGTTCTGAGGCAAATGCCAGTTATGACAACACACGGGGTTCTGCAGCCAAACGGGGAGTCTGAGCACTGTCAGAGACCCAGGGGGACCGACAGACAGAGGCAGGTAGGGGATCAGACAAGGACAGAAAGACAGCCCAGTGGGGTGGGTGTATGGGTGTGCACTGCATGTGTGCCTGGATTTGGGCTGTCTGTACAGGTGGAGCTGATGAGGAGGGTCCTGCCTGCAACCTCTTCTGGTCAGGGTGGGGCATGGAAAGGGCTCCCTGAGCACATGCTCTGGGACTTGGGAGGTATACCAGGCTTGGCGACTCCCAGGATGGGGTGGGTACGATGGGGAGGCCTGGTGAAGGGTGCACAGAGCACGCCTGTTTACAGGAGGAGTTGCAGGAAGAGATACCAGCCATCTTACTGCCTGGGCAGCCACTGTGGCCAGCTGTCTGCCTTGTCCTGTATTAATCACCCCAAGAGTCTGTATTCCACCACTGAGAACTATATGACCTTGGGCAAATTACACAAGCTCCACAGTCCTCAATTTATCTGTTAAATGGGCCCAATACTAATGCTCACTTCATAGATTATTACGACATTTAAATGACACTAACACCTATAAAGTGCTTAAAATAGGGTCCGGAGTTCCCGAAAGCATTGTGTGTGGTCTCTAGAGGCAAGGAGGGATGCCTGCAAATGTGCTCTGTTCATGGAAGGCAGTAAAGCACCTCAGGAGCAGGAGGAATGACTCCAGAAGGTGTCAAGGGAGCCCCAGTGGGTACCTGGGCCTGAACCACCCAGGGGAGGGAGGGTGGGGAACAATGGCGGGCAGGCAGTGGGGAATGGGGCTTGAACTGTGTCCTGCCACTCTCTGGCTGTGAGATTTCACCTCTTGGAGCTCCTGTTTCCCCACCTGTGGATCAGACTTAACAAGAGCTGCCTACCCCAAAGAGTGGACATGAGCTGTCAATCAGTGTTGTCAATCAATTACAGGGGTCTCCAAGCAGAAGCCAGAAAGGGAGGACGGGTGGACCAACAGACCCTGTAATCCACAGCAGCCCCAGAAAAGCAGCCCCTCAGTCCCAGCCCCACCACACAGCCCCAGGAGAGCTGGTTGAGACCCGACCCTGGCGCTGGTCCACAAGACCTGATCTCAGCTCAGGTTCTACCACCTGTGTGACTCCTGGAGAAAGTCAACCACCCCTTCCTGTGCCTGCTTCCTCATCTCTAACGTGGGGTGGTGGTAGTTTTACTCCCCATTTCATGGGGGAGTTTAAGGACGAGCTGAGTTACCATCAAGAAGCAGAGAAACAGGGGCACCCAGGAAGCCCTCTAGGCACGTAGCAGGTGCTATGCATGTGTTTGCTACAGTGACATTAGCATTATTGACCTTGGTTGGTAGATGAGTGACTGACAGGATGGGCCTCGGTGTCTCTGTCCACCTCTAATACACAGCAGATCCCAGAGACAAAGGAACTGGGTAGGTGTGCAGCTCTGGAAGTTCACAGGGGATGGGGTGGGCACAGAGTATCTCTAAGTGCCAGGCCCCAGGCTTTGCAAAGTAGCCCCTTCCTCCTGCCTCCTTTCAAGCTGCTGAAGCGAGTACCAAGGGGCAGAGTAAGGAACACATGATATATCCTGCTCTACCTGAGACACAGGCAGCAATGATCAATTCTCCCTTCAGCCAGTGAAAAAAGGTGCCTGCAGCCCTGCAAGGAAGGTATTTTGGTTTCTCTAGGGTGTCTGTAGGACTCCCCAGGGGGTGGGCAGCACGTGGCTACCTAGTCCAGTGGCAGCTACTTCAGAGGGGGCTCCTTAGGATCCAGAACAGCCCGAAACCCAGGCCTCTCTTTTGGCTGTCGCGTTCCGGAGGGCCACATACACAGGGGGTGTGGGGGCAGTGGCACTGACGGGTCAGTGGAAGGGAGAGCGGGTTCCAGCCAGGGAGAAGACATGACAGGTTGACCTCTCATGCTCCCACTACGACTCTGCAGCCTATCTAGGGAGTCACAAGGGACAGCAGGGTTTCCACTCCAGACCTGCTGTGGACTCAAACAACTAAGGTCATTTGCCAGCAGCACAAGTCTTACAGTTGATGTCACATCATGGTGTGACTGGTTGCATGATTTTCTTCCCTAGCGGTACATAACATAGGGATGTGTGTGACAAGGGGAGGTCTATTAATGGGATCAAGTAGATGCCTCTAGGGGCCCTTGCACCAGAGGATGCTATGGTGCAGGCAGAACAAACTCTGAAAGAGAAATGGAAACAAATGCCGGGTCTGTGAGTCAGGAGGGTGCAGGACGGAGGTCTGAGGAAGGGCACCAAGGGAGCCAAGTTCCTGACATTTGCTCCCCCAGATCTTTCTGGCTTCCCCTTGCAGCTAGCAGCCACTACAGTGCCCTGGAGGGACAAGAAAAAGGAAACCAGATATAAGAGGGAGGGAAGGTCTTGAGAGGAGGCGTGGGGCATCTTTGTCCTGCCTTGTCCCCGATGTGCCTTCCCTGGGGGCAGTAACAGCCCATGCATTTGCCTCTGTACCCTCGGCATCTGGAAGAGGGGATGCCCAGGGTGCGATGATCAGACAGGCTAGTGCAAAGCTGGTGCTGCCAGCTGGACCCAAGAGACAAGAGGCAGTGTGAGGAAGAGGCCGCAAGGCCGGATTTGGGAAGTACCTGGGCTCCAGGTAGGGAGGGTGGAGCTGCATTCTCCAGACCTGCCAAGTTACCAGCAGACAGTGAGCGGGCTCGGGTGGAGAAGAGGCAGAGGCTGGAGTCTAAGCAGGTCATCAAAGAGGTGGACAAACTTGCCTGGGCACATGTGAAAGGCTGCCCCCTCGCCATACTTGCTTTGGATTTGAAAAGGAGCCCAAGACCGGAGGCAGCCATGTGGCCACAGGAAAAAAGGCATTTGTTTCCTATGGAGGGAGTGGGGGCAGGGGTGGAGTTGGGGAAGGCCTAGTCAGTGCGGGGTCAGGGGGTACACATTTCTGTAAGGTCTGGGGATTGGGAAGGGACAGGAGCAGTAGTGGGGGCACATGGCTGTCTCGGGAGGGGGGTACAGAGATCTGGATGGAAGGACCAAGCAGGGCAATTATCAAATGCACAGCAGCCTTGAGAAGCTACACGCAAAATGAAACAAAGGCACATTAAGTATCAAAGAGCATTTTAGCGGCTAGAAGGCTGCTGGAGAACAGGGGAACTCTGTGAGTGTGCGAGTGAGTGTGGGAGGGACTTTGGGAGACCCAGGGATGGGGCAGGGTTCAGGGGCACCCA